TTATATCATGCAAATTATTGTAAACCAAATAATATCTATCGCTTAATAAACTTACAATAATAATACCGTGTACAGTATTACATTACATCACTAGATACCCATTTATATGTTCCGACTATAATATATTACGAAATTAGAATAGACAATAAAATCTATACATTTATTACAAACTGGCTGATCGGTATTATATGTGAATTTAAATCTTTTATATCTCGGGTTTGTAGGATTTTTAGTATTTCGTAATCAATCATTCGGGTTAATATCAATTTGTCACTTTTTATATGTATCTTATATATAGATACGTAGATATTTATATTTTCATTATATACATAGTGACGCAAATTATTAAAACTTCTATTAATATCTATAATAATATTTCTTTCACTTTAATTAAATTAATCGACCTTTTTTTATTTAATGTGATACATATTCTCTCATGATACAATACAAATTTTGTAATAACCGGTAGTTATTCTTTTTATAAAAGAAATGTAATCTGACATTGATTAAAATTTATTAATTGTAATAGGATACGTATATATACCTACTAGTATACGCATAATATATATATATATCCGTGGAAAAGGTTTTAAAATCTTTGTCTGACATTTTTTTACAATATTTAATTTCGTAAGAACCTACACCAAAATTAAACATTTTACTAATTGTCTACGTGGATATCTCAATCTCACCTATGTCATTCATGGTTTCATATCTGGAGACTTACTACATTAATTTAAATTGTTCTCATATATGACAGCATCCATGTCTCTGCAGATTTTAAAAACCTCAAGGATTATAATTGGATTAGGAAGAACTGTCAGAGGTCGCCCGCTGCGAGTGTCAGCTAGTTACAACCAACATTTACATTTGGAGCGAAATCTTCATTCCATTTAACAGGGGTCGACACTGATGGCGGCTTCCGGCTTTTAAATTTCATAATTTTGCATACATAATGACTAAACAAATAATGAACGTGACATAATTCCACAATGTAACAATGTGAAACAGAATAAATACATAACTAACATTATTACACACAATAGCTTCAATTGTTTAATCAAATTACACTGGCACAGAGTTAGCTTTGATTAATTTGAATATCTGGCTATTACGTTCACTGGAAATGCAAGCACCAATTACTAAACTTCAATTTGTTCAAATTAATTGAAGTTGTTAAATCGAACGTCCCTCAGTTTTTTCTGTACAGTTATATTTAGTACACCTTTCAGTATAATTGGTACAGTGAACTGTTTAAAACGTTATGGGTCCCACTGAGTGCCGACCTGAGAGTGACGCTGAATTTCGCAATGAATGAACAGGTGCAATTTCCATTGAAACAATAATAACTTACTACAAGACTTACTTCTATTAGTAAGATTGCCAATTTAATTTGTAAATGAAAACAGGACATGTGATACTGAAGCATTAATAAATGGGTACTAGTGATCGCCCGGTAACTACACCGGTAAATTTGAATTCGAGCAGAACTCAATTAAAAATGTCAATAGCTTTCTGCACTTCTGCTATACAAACATGAACTGTTGCAAATTTCAACTCCTTCCCTCGACAAATTATTCTACATACTTCACTTATTAGCAAATAGCTAAATACATCTACCTCATTTATGTTTTATTCAATATCTGTATCCTGTTGGATACAGGTTTCATCAGACTAAACTATAGAGATATATAAAGTGTATTTACTTATATGGTGTACGACAAAAGTAAGAGTTTAGAATTAATGCACGAAATTTTTTCCACCAATATTGCATGTTAATACAATTACAATCCATTATCATATTAAACATGATTTTCAATGCAGCATGTTTTTATGCCTTATTATTATTTTAAATCCTTTGGGATTCCAAAAACCATTAATATTAACATTTATTAATAATATAGGTATATGTATATATTTGGAATGTAAAGTATAAATAAAATATTTAAATATTTTTCTAAGTAGGTAGGTAACAAAATTAATCTACTGAATTTTTTAAGTAATATTTATAGTTCTGAGAACTTTTAGAGTTTAGAAATTATTAATTTGAAGATGAATTCGTATAATAATACACTATATCACTGTATATATTAATACGCCGTCATTAACTAATATATAATAGGCCACTACATCTTCCAAGATACTTAATCTAAATATTATGTACTGGTATTACACTTAGAATAACGATTTAGCCAATCTCACAAACACAAATACATTTACAATCGTAACCGTTTCCCCCATTCACGTAACAATAACATTTTTCTTCGGAGATTTTTCATTGTCATTAAAGTTCACGGTAGAAATGGGGGAAAATTCTGGAAATGTTTTTCACAAAAATATTTATAAAGGACCTTTATCCCAACGTTTCTCAATAACAATAGAATATAGCTCTCAACGTCTATGAAGTTGTATTCAAGTATATATACTTATTTACTATTGAAAGTGGTGCAAAATCTTAAAACCCAATATGAGAACTTTTATATACATTTAGATAATAGATTAAAAATGTAACCTACAGATATAGCTACATACCTGTTGTATATACGTGGATCGTTTGGTTTACGACATAAGCAGTACGAACTGAATGTAGACTTATATTACACTGTAGTCTTAAGTGCATAGATTTATAAACATTCTAATTTATGAGGTTACACATTCAATACCATTGTGAAAGTTTTTCAATATCTTGTATAAATTGGGACTAGAATAGTGAATCAATTTTTACAAGATATTGAATTATTTTAATTATAAAAAAATATTATAGAAAAATTATATTAAAATTTGTATCTAAACTCTCTAATTGTAATTTTAGAATATAGGACAGGCTGTATATTTGGAAGTATAATATACTTATGTTCCATTTGATATAAGTTATATTTTATTTTGTTTCATTCGAGAACGTATTGAATTACATAGTGACATGTGGTTCAATTCGGTTAATTTTTGATGTGACAAGCCAACGTATCTATTTATATCGTTCCAGTTACCTATTGATGAAGGGATGAAGTAGTGTATATTTCACAGTATTTCATTCATATATTTATACTAACATTAACGGTGAAGTATATGTACTACAGTGACATTGGCCATTCCATGACGATGCCAAATTTAATTATTGATTATGTAACAGAAAGCATAACCTATAAACTAATTATACGGGTTATGCTTTCTGTTACATAATTCTTCTGTGTCTTAACAAAATTTGTACATACAAAATTCAACCGGATTGATATAAATTTTCTATAAAACGAGTAATTTATGTCTTAAAATGTCAAGTGTCTTAAAAAATAATATAATAACTGAAGAGATTAAAATTCGAATGTTCTCAACAGCTCAGCTTAAATAAATTGAGGACCATCGATCAATCCACAAGTAGGTATCGGTCGCGAACCGCTTCCAATATTCACAGGGATTGCCTTTTCATGATTTATTGTCTCCAGGATTATGTATGGTGTGAGGTTTTGGAAATAAATAAACTCGGCATCCGCCGGTAGAGCCGTCCTGCCATTTTGTTCAACCTTTTGTCTACAAATAATATGGTGCGGACCCTCACTTTGTTTATCGATTCAAATTTGTAGGTACGAATATTATCCAAAGAGATCTACCATCAATTTATTTCCTATTGGTGATCATTTTCGATAACAGTAACGAATATTATAGTATAATCTACTCTAAAATATTCTTATTTCCATTTGTTAGGTAAATAGAACATTAGAACTACTATAATAATAATCACCAAATTTTTCTGTTAACTGTAAATGTACATATACTATTCACTTAGTATTATTAAAATCTCCTTAGCCTATGTACATACATAGAATGTTAAAATGAGGATTGCACCAATGTATAATTCGTCTAATATATCTTTTATCACCCAATTTAAAAATATACAAGTTATCTACATGAAAATATAAATACGAATACTGATTTGTTTGTCAATTTTTAACATGTCTATAAAGCAATAAATTCTTATTCGAATAACACTGTTCGTTCATTTCTTAGAAGTGAATTCATCTTAATTTTCTTTTTCGATGAGAAGCTTAGGATGTTTTTATAGCAAACGACTTTCTCTATGCTCGGAGTTAAATTGAATCATCAATAGATAATTGATACGACCTCTTCAAAGGAATTACTTATGAGAGCTTATTAGAAAGTTGAAGATCTTCAGGTTACCTGTGTTTCCTTTGATAATTCGACATATTAGTTACTTCTCTTCGAATCTTGCCATCCACAAATTAAGTCGCTTTTCGGTTAATTATATTAGAATTTCCTTTTGAATTAATTAATAAAATAAAATACTAAAAGTGAGAACTCTGAACCCGTAAGCCGAGATTTATTGCCAATTAAATTTTACGTGAAGCTTTCACTGTTCGTCCCTCCGTTCTGTGATGTTTCTATTCTCTGTTATTTTTAGACAGATAGATACGTATTACTTTTCCTGTTCTCATAAAAATTTGCATTTTACAGGCTTAGTAAATACTAATGTATCTAACTTTAGTTTTGATGGACAGCGCGATTGCAAGTTCGATTCCTTACATAATACCAATATTTTGTATTTTTGGGTATGATTAATTATGTTGGTTTGGGTGTTCTGTATATATTATATATACATAATAGTATTTAAATACTTTTTCTGGAAATCCAGAAAAAGTATTTAAATACTACTGTGTACTTATATCAATTGTTTAGTACCCATAGTACATCTTTGTTTAGTATGGTTTAGGAGTAGATAGCAATGTGAACTACGGCCTGGGTTATTATCTATATAATAGTAGGTTTATTATTTGGGGAACACCGAAATAAAAAATAGTATTATTATTTGGAACACAATGTTGATTAAATTGAAGTAAACATTTTTGACATTATTTAATTTATTGTAAAAACAACAACACACATTTATAGATCCCAAAGCAACTTAATTTTTAAGATACTAAAAACTAAAGCTAAAAATTATATGTATTTGCAATTTCCAATACCTGCCTCTTTATAGTTATGCTTATTCTAATTTCTTGTAAGTTCTTTGCTAAAGGACAGACTGACAGTATAATTTTCTATTGTTTTTATGATTGTTCATCAGTCACAACTTAATAATTGATTGAAATTTTATTGTGGATCGGGGTTGATTACTTTTTCAAACTGAAGAAGAATTATAAGGTAAGTGATAAGCAGGCCTATGAACTTGAACGGCAATGAAATATCAATTTCCAGCATTCGTAATAGTGAAAATGATAAATCTCTAGCTTCAGTCAAAGCAAGCAAAGCCCGTGCTGTGCTACGACTAGATTTATCTGTAAACAAGAATTATTATTATTACTAATAATTAATAATAATTTTAATATACTTCCGTATCTGTATGGTAAGTATTTTATTATTTGTCTACATTAATTATATCCTACTGAAATTTTTATACTATACATTACATACAATAAAATTGTACCTAGCTGTCTGTACACGGAACATATGTGACAGAAGTTTTTAGTGAGGGATTTTATAAAGTAATTATAACTTGGAAACAATTATTGTTAAAATTTTTGTCTGTATATCTGTGCATTTGTGTGCTCTTATCAGAAATCATCAGGGTACGTATTTCAGTAATGCATTTTAGTGAAATTCGAACATATATACTCATGACTGTAACAATACGATTTTTAAATGTTTTTTCTCTTCATTAATAGATAATAATATCTATATATTAGTTGACTTTTATTATTAAAACCAACGATTATTTTTTATTAAATACAACTATATGTTTTAGAGTACCAGTAATGCTTGAATTACTATGAGCAAAGGAAAGGGCGATACTTTTGTACCATTGTAACTAATTTTATTATTATTTTAGATAAATAATGATAGGTGTTTACTGAAATTTGTAAGTTTAATTACGTACTCACCAAGTTTATTTTCATATAGTCTGGAGGCTAGAAGCTCTCTAAGGCGTCGTACTTCATTGTGAACTTTATCACTGAACATACATGGGGAAAATAGTGGTATCATTTGTCCTATGGTGAGACCCATGTCCGATATTACATCCATTAAAGGATCCTAAAATAACATAATTAGCATCATTTTGAGTTATTTAATTATACAAAATGTAACGAAGTGGTTTATTACAACAATTCTGAAATTATAGAACTAGATACATATTCATGGAAGATTTTTTTATGAGAATTTGCTTTAGGTATGTAGTAAAATACCATCTGTGATCTTGGCAACAAGTATCTAACGGTATTAGTTATTGAAAGTATTACGAGTCAGTCGAATTATTTTGAATTTGGTGTTATTCAAAAAAACTGTTCAAAGAAATTAATTGTAAATACAGCATGGTTACATTGGATAATAACTATTAAAAATTCATAACAGACCTTTTCAGTATACTTTGTATGGTATATATATATATATATCTCATCTCATATTCACATGCTGAAACTAATTAGTCAAAAGAAGATTATCTACTTACTGTATTGCAGATAATAGTTATAGAGATACTATAACAAAACGCCAATATTGAGATAAATGAAGTTATTATAATCACGAGTAACTGAAAATTTACATAGAAAAATTTAATTAATTTTTTTTTTAAATTACCAATGCTGAAAAAACTGGCATTTAACGTTGGGTAGCGTAGTAACTGAAAATTGTATTATTCTTATGTTGAAAGTAATTAATACAATACTCCACCGTAAGTAGGTATACCCAAAAAAGGTAGGTATATTCCACTCATAAAAACATTATAGTTACTGAAAAGTATAAATAAACAACTACTAAAATTGCAGTTAATATTCAAAGTTGATATTATTAATTTATTCAATTATACTTCTGATTTTCGTAATATGAGTAGAAAACAGTATAAAAATATATCAACAGAATATTATAAAGAAACTGAAATTAGATTCTATTAAATTATTGACAAAAAAGAACCTATCTTTGTTGACAGTTACCATTTCATTAGACGCGTAGTAATGCGATACTAGAAAAGAATTGAATCTTTGTCTAAACGAAAATTTTGGAACGCAGATCAAGACACATTGTCATTCTCGTGTTTCTTTTAGTAAAATAGATTTCTAGGTATAGTTAATATGATAATTACCTGCCATTTAATTGCCTCCACCATGTAATCGTAGGCTTTAATGATAATATGATAGAGATCCATTAACTTTTTCATTTGTCCGTTTGTGATATTGTTATATTTAAAATATACAAATTCTTCCACTTTCGGAGCAGCAATAGCTTTGTCATTGGACAAAGTTGATTCCGCATAATAGTTAAGCAATCGTAGCCTCGGGATGAGGAGGCTAAGTAAATGGCCATAGTAATGAACCTCCATGGCATGAATCAAATTCACCGGCACCAGCGGCAGTAGCAAGTCATTCCAATTATCCATACTAAATGACATTATATAGAAAACACCGAATAGCAATAATAGAATGAGCGTTTGCACTAAATTCCCTATAGAACCACGCGTGACTTTTGGCCTGCAACCCACTTCGGCATCGAACGTCGACAATTCGATGTAAAAACGCTGCATCCTTTTCCAAGTGATGAAATTAAAGATGATAGCAAAGATGTACTCACACATATTCATGACTACTACAACGGCAACATATCTAGTATCATACGTGTAAATTGTAGAGAAAATTATAGTCACTATTAACAAAAGAGAGTAAGATATCATCAGAGGCAAATAAAAGAACCTCATGTTGCAGATTACAAGTGGTAACCGGTTAAGCCCTAAAACCATTTCGGCTACTATATAGAATTTGGAGAGCTTGTCGATAAAGGGTTTTTCCTTCCATTGCAAGAAAGTGTTGACGCGGACACTCGGAGTCGCCATATTGGTACCACTACACTCACCCAAATGATCATTATGGCACTTCGGTGATGTTTCATTTCCTAATGGCTACAAAATAAATAATATTTGTAATTTATTTTCAGCCGTAATGTATTGTGTATCCACTAAACACACCGCAAGCAAGTCATTACACTAATTAATTGGATCGTACCTACATTACTCGCGCTACCCAACCGGTGCTTATGTAAGTCATAAAATTATAATTAATATTTATCTATTTTACAAGGAAGTAACTTACAATTTTTTTTAATATTCACATGTAGTCTTAAAGGGCGTATAGATATATAAAACAACACTTTTTGCATTTGTGTGAATATGAGTCTGTACAGTAAACGTTGTAAAATACTATATACAACCTGTACAAACTTCATACCAACATTAAATTATCTAATTTACTGTTCCTTCTGACAAAATATCAGGTACAGTTAATGAAAATAATTACTGTAATGCCTTCTCAGAAGCCTCCAGAAATTTTATTATCTATGAGTAATATAGCTAACAAATTTACACGTATGTTGTAGATATTATAAATAAGTAATATAAATTTCTAATATTATCTCACTTTGGCATACAGACATGACTTTTTACGCGAATTGCAAGTAGAATAGGATAAACCTTTTCTTATCTGAAGATAATTCGGACTACGCCGAATAGTGCACCCTGTAAACCATAAAACAGTTTCGAGAACATTCGAGAGATATATACTGTTTACATTAATTAATTAAATTACAATAAGTTTAAAATATACATTAGCATTATACGCAATATCCCCTAAAAACCATCTTTCTTTTGAAAAGTCGAAGCAAAAACTAAACAAGACTTCCTTTTATCCAAAATATAAATTAGTACCTTCTAACATATAACTATACAACTGTATTTACATTTGTAATAATCGAAATATGAGAATAGTCTGGAATAGGCAATTCAGAACTTCAACGTTTCCAATATCAAAGTTGCCATAATCCTACTACATTTAGCGTTGTAATTGAGTTGCGTTCAAAGTGTATTTTGGAGTGTTTGATTACTCTTCAGGGCAACAACTTTGGGGTAAACCCGCAAACAACTTTTAAAACTCACTTTTGCCGATCTATGGTGGAATGTTTATCTCTAAATATCTCGTAGGTATAAGTACACTCAAGAGTAATTTATAAAACAAAATTTAACTAATTTTGCCAATTTCTTTAACAAAGTTATGAACCCTTCGTCTTAGTTTACTGTTCTGTCGCGATAATTATTTATAACCTCATTAACATAAACATAGCTAGTAATTACATATACAGATTACTGCAGCGTATTATTTCGCTTTGTGTGTTCTACCGAATATACAACGGGCTGTATTTTGAAGAATTGTTCGACACGATGCCCACGATTTATTTTTACCATTCATCCCTAGACACATTCATCCCTAAGTGGTCTCAGACAGTGTAGTTTCAGAGGAGCTTCCTCTCGCATAAACTTAGATTGTAGCTTAAATTCCCTGCCGAGGTTGTCTTGAGCGACAACAGTATGGGGTTTTTCAAGAAGGGTTATTAAGGTTTCTTAAAAGTCGGCAACGCACATATGACACCGCTAGTGTTTCGGTCATCTAAGAACTACGGTAATCGTTACCATCTACAGTGTATAAAAAAATCTATTAAATCGAACTAAACATCGCTAAGGGTGGTTTTGATGCCTGAATATCATACTTTAAGAACTCAATATGAGTTTTTATTTCATTATGCACTTGAGCATCCAGGACTTAACTTATTTGATAGTTTGTACTGCATACTGAGTATCAAAATATTCTATAAAATACGCAAGTATTTGTAAATTGGAAAAAAATGCTAATTACCTAGAATCTATATGAGTCAATTTCATGGTGGAAAAACTCCAAAATAGATTTATAAGATAGTATGGATTATTATAAATACACACAGGAGCGCCCGTGTGTATTTATAATAATCCATACTATCTTACACCTATTTGATGTCCCATGGCAAATACTGTTGTTTGCCACACAGAACTGGCCAAGAAGACCCTTACTCACTCCATTGAAAGAAAGAAAGAAAGAAAAACGTTTATTGTCAACCATTATTACATATACACATTTGACAATTGTACACTTTACACACATATATATATATATATATATATGTTTTCAGGGGGAACCGCGTGACGGTCAACGTGATATGGTTGTGAAAGATGGAGATCAAGACGACGAGCAAAAGAAAACGGCACAGGCAGGTCTAGAAATATTGTATTGACTTATGTCATATATAAAACAATATAGTGTTTATAAAAATATAGAAAATAAAAAAGGTTTATAAAACAGTTACCAGTTACCAACAATGATAGATTGCTATCGCCATTTCTATAAAAAAATGGATCTGCGCAATTTATAAAGGTAGTAAGAAATTGAAATAATCTGTATTAAAATAAATTCAAAAATCATTTATTCATGTAGGACATTTTAGCCGCTTATGAACGTCAAATTTTTACATTATAATTTTATTTTTTCCCTACCGTCCAGTTCAGTATATAGATCCAATTGAGAAGAACTGGCAAGAAACTCAATTGAATTACTTTTTTTTTTAAAGCCAGTTTATTTACAATTTATTTTTATATAGGTGTCTATGTCTAACATTAAATGAAAATTCAGTGCATGAACAACTATTGCCATGCACGCTCGTCATTCAAGTAATCGTTTAGTGAGTAATAGGCCTTGCTCAGTAAATATGATTTAACAGATTAAACTTAATGTAAACTCTTTTGAATAGTCATAATTTTTCATTCTATCGTTTTGGAATGCAAACTCATAACAAGAAGAGAATGGTCGTAATATAAGATACTACCCGTGCACATGTTGTAGCCTATGTGTTATTCTAATGTATATGCTATATTTATTGTAAAGTTTCATCAAAATCCGTTTAGTAGTTATCCATCCTAACACTCAAAAAATTTTACATTTATAATATTAGTAAGAGTTTCATTCTTCTGTAGTTTTTATGTGAACGATTAACAAACATCCGTTGACGACCTCGGTGGTCTAGCTGTCTAGCATACCGCTTTATGTCTGATGGTCACGGGTTCGATTCCTCGCACGGCACAAACATTTGTATTAATGAGTATGATTGTTTGTATCGGTCTGAGTGTTTTCTTTGTATAATATAATAGTATTTACGAAAAAAATTATCTATGTATATGTATATATATATATATATATATATATATATATATATATATATATATATATATATAAATAACTTGACCTCTATCGCGTATATCTCAGGCGGTATGGCAACGTCGCATTCTATTTTGCGATGTGGCCATATATATTCGTCGATAGTACGATATACTCGACACTTTTTTTACTAATAATTCGTGACTGAATGGCTCCGAACGGCTAAATTTTTGGTATACACAAAGACTTTTTGGCTCTGAATATATTCCAAAAATCAATTAATTATGTTGATCACTTTATATACTCGTCCTTACTGCGATACTTATTTACATCCGAATATATATAGATACCGTAACGGTCTATCAATTATGAATTTATTAATTTACTAATGTAGATATTTTATATTCGCAATGCTCCATACATGCAAGCTCCAGCAACGGTGGAGGCAAGGGGGAGCACCGTACACCGCACCCCGCGCACACAAACAAATTAGAATAAATTAAATTCATAAGATTATTTATATATTTCGACTGCCTCGGTGGTCACACCGCTTTACATCCGATGGTCGCGGGTTCGATTTCTCGCACGGTGCAAACAATTGTACTCATCGGTCATCGATTGTTTTCATCGGTCTGGGTGTTTTATATGTATATTATATATGTATTTACAAAATAAAAATATCTATATCAGTTCAGTATCAGTCTGTGTTAATTGTCCAGGGCTATTTATTATATATTTATAAACGGTTATCTTTTTCCATCCCACCGCTCGCTATCGACAGTGAATTCATAGAAATGTCACTCTAAAAACAATAATAGTTTTGTTTTTGTATTTCAAATACTAAATGCAAAATAGGTATTTTCAAAATACTTTTTCAAAATAAAGTACCTTTTGAATTTTTGTCCAAACCTCAGATATTTTATTTATTTTAGGTATATCAATCATTACATAGTAATATAAAAACAAAGTCGCTGTCGCATCTAACAGTACATAAACAAAGAAAGAAGACTTTTTGGCTCTGATACCGTAACGGCCTATGAATTATGAATTTATTATACCTAATCTAGATATTTTATATTCGCAATGCTACGTACATTGTAATATCCGCCTCCATTCATTGTAACGGTGGAGGGACTAAATAGTTGAATAAAACTGAATAAGCAGTTGCTCCACTCTATAGGTACTGCGTCGTCGTCGTATGCTGTTCATTTTTTCACTCGTTTTGGCGCCAAGAGAGGGTCTATCTATACATCTATACATGTAAATAAAATTGGAGTGTCTGTTTGTAATATTGAAATAACCGTTTTTTACTACCTGCATATGAATATAAATACGGTACATACACCAAAATAACATATTTTACAAGTTTTGTCTGTCTGTCTGTTTGTTTGTTCCGGCTAATCTCTGAAATAGCTGGACCGATTTTGACGGGACTTTTTTTGGCAAGTAGCTGATGTAATAAGGAGTAACTTACGCTACTGTTATTTTAGAAAAATGAAATAAAATTTCACGCGGACGAAGTCGCTGGGGCCAGCTAGTCTATAGATATACCGAGATTTAATATTTAAGTTGCTATTATGTTGTTGACAAAATTTTACTGTAATGTTACTATTACGTTATCCTACACAATTTGTATTATTTTGGATGAATAAATAAATAAATAAATAATAATCTATACATCTATACATATAAATAAAATTGGAGTGTCTGTTTGTAATACTGAAATAACCGTTTTTTACTACATGCATATGAATATATATAAGGTACATATACCAAAATAACAATTTTTATAATTTTTGTCTGTCTGTCTGTCGGTCTGTTT